AGCCTCCTGGTCTATGAACAGGTTCCTTACGAGCACAGTTAAGTGTTCTGGAATACCCTTCCTCTCAATGTTATCCATAATTTGTTATGATCCACACAGTCAAACGTTTTTGCATAGACAATAAAACACAAGTAAACATCTTTCTGGTATTCTTTCCTTTCAGCCAAGATCAATCTGACATCAGCAATGATATCCCATGTTCCACGTTCTCTTCTGAATCCAGCTGGCATTTCTGGAAGTTCCCAGTCAATGCAGTATTGCCATCATTTTTTAATATTTTCAGCAAATTTTACTTGTGTTTGATATTAATGATATTGTTTGATAATATCGACATTCTGTGGGTTCACCTTTCTTTAGAATGGGTACAAATATGGATCTCTTCCATTCAGTTGGCCAGGTAGCTGTCTTCCCAGTTTCTTGGCAGCATGGCATCTGTTTGTAGAAACATCTCAATGGGAATTCCATCAATTCCTGGGGCCTTGTTTTTAACCAATTCCTTCAGTGCAGCCTCAACTTCTTCCTTCAGTACCACTGGTTCTTGATCATATGCCACCTCCTGAAATGGATGAACATCGACTAATTCTTTTTGGTACAGTGACTCTGTGTATTCCTTCCATCTTATCTGATGTTTCCTGCATCATTCAATATTTTGCCCATAGAAACTTTCAATATTGCAACTCAAGACTTGAATTTCTTCTTCCAATCTTTCAGCTTGAAAAATGCTGAGTGTGTTCTTCCCTTTTGGTTTTCTAACCCCTGGTCTTTGCATATCTCATTATAATAATTGACTTTTTCTTCCCAAGCTGTGCTTTGAAATCTTCTGTTCAGCTCTTTTATCTTGTCATTTCTTCCATTTGCTTTAGCTATTCTCCATTCAAGAGCAAGTTTCAGAGTCTCTATGACATCCATTTGGTCTTTTCTTCCTTTTCTGTCTTTTTAATGACTTTTTGCTTTCTTCATGGATGAATATCTTCATATCAACCCACAATTCATCTGGTTTCTAGTCACTGGTGTTCAATGCATGAAATCTATTCTTCAGATGGTCTCTAAATTCAGGAGGGATATATTCAAGGTCATATATAGCTCTGATGGACTTATTTTAATTGTCTTCAGTTTCAACTTGAACTTGCATGTGAGTAATTGATGGCTTGTTCTGTAGTCATCTCCTGGCCTTGCTTTGGCTGGAGATACTGAGTTTCTCCATCATCTCTTTGCACAGATGTTGTCAGTCTGATTCCTGTGTATTCCACCTAGTCCACATGTATAGCTGCTGTTTATGTTGTTGAAAAAAGGTATCTGCAGTGAATAAGTCATTGGTCTTACAAAATTCTATCATTCAATCTCTAGCATCATTTCTATCACCAAGGCTGTATTTTCTAACTACAAGTGATTCTTCTTTGTTTCCAACTCTTGCATTCCAGTCACTAGTAATTATCAATATATCTTGATTGCATGTTTGGTCAATTTCAGAATGCAGAAGTTGGTAAAAATCTTCAATTTCCTCATCTTTGGCTTTGGTGGTTGGTGTGTAAATTTGAATAACAGTAGTATTAGCAGGTCTTCCTTGTATGTGTATGGATATCATGCTATCACTGGCAGCATTGTACTTCAGGATAGATCTTGAAACATTTTTTGTAAGGATGAATGCCATGCCATTCCTCTTCAATTTGTCATTCCTGGCATAGTAAATCATATGGTTGGTTGTCTGATTCAAAATGACCAAAATTTAGGCTATCAATGTTTATGTGTTCTATTTCATTTTTCACAGTTTTCAATTTTCCTAGTTTCATTTCATGTTCTGATTACTAATGGATGTTTGCAGGTTTTTCTTCCCATTTTGAGTTGAGCTACATCAGCAAATGGAGGTCCTGAAAGCTTTTCTCCATCCACATCATTAAGATCAACTCTACTCTGAGGAAGCAGCTCTTCCCCAGTCATATTTTGAATGCCTTCCGACCTGAGGGGCTCATCTTCTGGCACTTGCATCAGACAATGTTTCAGGGATATTCATAAAGTTTTCCAGTAATATAACAGACAGTGTTTCACTGCTATTCATAAGGTTTTCACTGGCCAATTCTTTGAGAAGTGGATGGCCCCTTCCTTCTTCCGAGTCTGTCTTAGTCTGGAAGCTCTGCTGAAACCTGTCCTCCATGCGTGACCCTGCTGGTATTTGAAATGCCGGTGGCATAGCCTCCAACCTCACAGCAACAGGCAAGCCACAGGAGACAAACTGATAGACGAGTGGTGGAAGACAGTACAGTAAGGGGTAAGAATTTTTGAGAGACAATTCTCCATGGGTTCCTATGTGTCTGCATGTCTTTTGGGAGAGTCTTTAGACTATCTTTTCAAGAATGTTTGAATAACAAACATCTTGGAAAACATAGATAGTGTGTACCTTCAGGGGAAGGGGAAGATTTACTTGCTACCCAGGATAATAAAGCTAGTATCTTCCTCCCTCTGGGCACAGGTTGGTCAGGTTTGCTAGCAGCACCCTCATAAGATTTGGAGTTTCTAAGCTCTCCGTCTGAGTCAACCCAATGGCAGTAGATTAAGTTCAGGATACCTCAGTTGTGACACAAGCCTGCTGTGTGTACAGAATTCATCTGGGCCTATCTCTGCATCATCTCCATGAAAATCAGGAAGTAAAGGGACTAATGTAAACGTGAAGCTGATGCTGCCTACTGTGTCATAGTAACAAATGCCTTTGTTTCTGATTCAGGACTCTCATGTTCTACACCAGCATCTATGAAACTAGGGCAGGATAGCTTGTTATCTTGCAGGTAGTATAAAATTTGAGACACTTTATAGTTTTTGACAAAGGCTCAGATTAATGTAGAGAGATACCATGCTTATTGGTTGAAAGAATCAATAATGTAAAGTTATTGGTTCTCCCCAAATTTATCTTTAGATTCAATATGATCCCAATCAAAATCCCAACAGGCTTTTTTTGTAGAAATTGACAAGATGATAATAAAATACATATGAATATGTAAAAGACTTAGAACAGTCCTGGAAAAGAACAAATTCAGAGGACTTATATACTATCTGATCTTAACATACTATAAAGTAGACTAATAAAGATCTTGTGATATTTGTACAAAATTAAACAAATAGATCAATGGAACACAATACAAAGTCCAGACATTATTGCACTTATATATATGGTCAAATGAATTTTAAAAGGGAAACCAATGCAACCAAAGGACAACAGGGAAAAGAAAGCCTTTTCAACAAATAGTACTGGATCTACTGCACATCCATATTTAAAAAAAAAATATTAACCTCACATCATCCATAAAAACCTAAAATTATAAAGTTTCTATATGAAAACATAAGAGAATATGTTTGAGGCTTTGGGATAAGCAAAGATTTCTTAGAAAGAATGCAAAAGGCACTAATTATAAAAGAAAAATATTAATGAGATGAAACTTTATCAAAATTTAAGACTTCTGCTCATTAAAGCATTGAAAACCACAGATGGAAAGGAGAGGAAAGAGAGTCACTGTTTAGGAACCATTGTTTATGGTGATGGAAATTTGGCAATGGATATTGGTGAGAGTTGTACAATGTAATTAATGCCACTAAATTGTACACCTGAAAAATGTTAAATTGGCAAATATTGTGTTTCATATATATATATTTTTACAATAATAAACGAGTGTTAAGAAAAGAGATAACATTAAGAAATACAAATCATAGACTGGGGAGAAATATTTGCAATATATATTTCTAAGCAAGGTCTTATATTCAGCATAAATAAAGAACTATAAATCCACAATAAAAACACAAACAACCAATATCTGAAAAAGGACAAAAGATTTCAGGACACACTTCACAAAAAGATATACAAATGGTCAGTATACACATAAAAAATTATCAACATCATTAGTCAACAGAAAAATGAAACTTAAAACTACAATTAGATACAACTTCACACTCACTAGAATTATCTAAATAAATAAATAATAAAAAGACTAACAATGCCCAAATATTGGAGCGAATGAAGAGCAGGTAAATTCTAGCAGAAGCTTAAAACGTTATGGTACAACCACCGTGGGAAAATGTTTGGCAGAATTTTTTAATGTTACACACACACCTATCCATGGAATTGCCATGAATCAGAGTCAGCTTGATGTCAACTAACAGGTACATGATATTAATAAATAAATAAAATTATTTATTAATAATAATAATAATAAATGGAATTATTAATAAATAACATTATTATTTAGCAATTCCACTCATATATTTATCCTCCCAAAATGAAAACATATGTCCACAAAAATAATTGTATAAATATGTTTATTTCAACTTTATTCATAACAACAAAATTGCAAACAACTCAAATATCCATCAACAGGAGAATGGATAAGCAAACTGTAATATAGTCGTATTATAGAATACTACTTGTCAATAAAAAGGAACAAATAGTATAGACAAAAATACTGATGAATCTTAAAAACATTATCATGAGTGAAAACAGCCAGAAAAATATATATGATATGTCACATTTACATGAAGTTCTAGTACAAGAAAAATTAATGTATGAGGCTAGAAATAAGCAATTCCCTGAAGGGAGTGCAGAAAAAGATTGGAAAAGTGCTGGAAGAAACTTTTTAGGATGATAAAAATGCCCTACATCTTGGGGTGTATATATTTATCAAATTTCATTAAACTTTACACTTAAATATATATAATTTATTGTATTTATATATATATCCATTCAAAACAAAAAAAGACTACAAAATAGATTTTACTTAAAATTCATTTACCTCTAGACTATTCAAGGTCTAGCATCCAAATTAGATAGTTTGAACTTCACATTATTTGCTCTGTTTCCACAGGTGTTAAGAGAATGATTCTCCCAGACTTTACACAGCTACCAAGGCAACAACACTGGGAAAACTATTAACCAAGATTTGATAGAGCATATTTGCAATCAGGAGATGAAAATAAAGAACACCGTGGGTTATAAAAGCAGGTGAACCCCATCCACCAGACCTACTCAGGCAAAATGTTAGCATTCCTGGTTCTGGTCACTGTGGCCCTAGCATCTGCTCACCATTCTGGTGAGCATTTTGAAGGGTAAGTAATCAACTTCTTAAATATGAGCCAGCACTCTTCCTTGCTCATATTTAAGACTAAAATCCAAAATTTGGATGCATTACTCTTTTCAAATATTCTATTCTTCCTCCTCTATCTCACCTTTCAGTGAGAAGGTGTTCCGTGTCAATGTTGAAGATGAAAAGCAAATTAACTTAATCCAGGAGTTGGCCAGCACCACCCAGGTAAGTAACAATTCTGTGCTATAGGCTTACTTCACACCTACTTTAAAATCTTAGATTGCATTGTGATTCCACCAAAGGAAGACTGACATGAAATATGAACATTAATACTTATGGTAGCAAAAACATTAGAACCTGGAAAAAACTTTAGTTCCAATATGCTGCCTCTTTTCTGCCTAAATTGTTGTTACTATTAGGTATTCTAGAGTCGGTTCCAACACATAGTGACCCCAAGTACAACAGAACAAAACTCTCCCTAGCCCTGCACTATCCTCATAACTGTTGCTATGCTTGAGCCATTGTAGCAGTCACTGTGTCAATCCACCTCATTGAGGATCTTCCTCTTTTTCTTTGACCCTCTGCATTACCAAGCATGATATCCTTCTCCAGGGACTGGCCCCTCCTCATAACATGACCAAAGCAGGTGAGATGAAGTCTGGCCATTCTCACTTCTAAGAGCATTCCAGCTGCACTTCCTCCAAGACAGATTTGTTCATTCTTCCAGAAGTCTATGGTATTTTCAACATTCTTCAGCAAAACCACAATTTTAATTCATCAATTCTTCTGTGGTCTTCCTTATATATTATCCTGCTGTCATATGCATCTGAGACAAATGAAAAAGTCATGGCTTTGATCAGGTGCTCTTTAGTCTTCAAAGTGACATATTTGCTCTTTACCACATTAAAGAGGTCTTTTGCAGCAGATTTTCCCAGTGCAATATGTCTGATTTCTTGACTGTTCCTTCTATGGTTGTTGACTGTGTATTCAAGTAAGATGAAATTGTTAACAACTTCAATCTTTTTTCCATTTATCATGATGCTGCTCATGGACCCAATTGGGAGGATTTTGATTTTCTCTATGTTGAGATATAATCCATACTGAAAGCAGAAGTGTTTGATCTTCATCAGTAAGTGCCTCAAGTCCTTTTCACTTTCAGCAAGCAAGGTTGTGTAATCTGCATGTTGCATTGTTATTAAGACTTCCTCCAATCCTGATGCTGCATCCTTCTTCACCTAATCCACCTTCTCAGATTATTTCCTCAGCATGTGCCGGCAAGTCGGCCCCGACTCATACAGACTGAATAAGTATGCTGAAACACACCTTTCCTGATTTTAAACCATGCACTATGCCCTTGTTCTGTTCAAACAACTGCCTTTTGGTCTATGTACTGGTTCCTCACAAGCACAATTAAGTGTTCTGGAATTCTCATTCTTCACAATGTAATTCATAATTTGTTGTGATCCACACAGTTGAGTGCCTTTTCTTAGTCAACAAAACACAGGTAAATATCTTTCTTGTATCCTCTGCTTTCAGCCAAGATCCATCTGACATCTGCAATGATATCCCTCATTCCACTTTCTCTTCTGAATCTGGCTTGAATTTCTGGTAGTTTCCTATCAATGATTTGCTGCACTTTTTTATTATCTTCTGCAAAATTTACTTGTGTGTGATATTAATAATTTCCACCTAAATTAGATAATTTCTGCCTAAATAGATCATCAAAAACCTACAGTATTATAAAGCCATGTTAACTTTTGAAAGAACATGACAACTGGATGACTTGGAACTGTCGTGAAGGTCACATCTAATGCAGTCACTTCCATTCTAGAGCAAAAGAGAAAAATTATCAACTTGGATTTTGCTGTAAAATTGGACTTTTGTCCAATTTGATTTCCACATCGCATGTATCATCTGTTCTCTTTGGTTTTCTTTCATTCCAAATTGAACAGCTTGGGTTTTCATGACCTTGATGTGGGTCTCCTTAATGATATGGCAGGATGGGGGGCAGGGTGAACAGGTAAAAACCCATGAGTGACTTCCATACTTTTCTTCTGCTTACAAGAAACCAAAAATCTCTATGCTACTTAAAAAAAAAAAAAAACAACCACCCACTATATGGGATGTTATTGTTGTTGTTATGTGCCATTGAGTCGACCCGACTCATAGCAACCCCTCCTTGGGTTTCTGAGGCAGTATCACTATGGAAGTAGATTGCCCAACCATCCTTCCAAGGAGTGGCTGGTGGGTTTGAACTGTCAGCTTTCTGGTTAGCAGTCAAGCGCCTTAGGCACTACGCTACCAAAGCTCCACTGGATGGGATAAGAACTGACATTTTTCATTGTATATGTACTGTAGCAGAATTATATTGCTGATCACAAATAGTTCTATTTGAGCTAATGCTGTTTCCTCGTGTATATATACATCAAAATAACCTGCAAGCTCTTAAATATCCTTTTAAAAATCTACGTATAGATATAAGGAGTTCTGGTGGTGCAGTGCCTAAGGCATTTGACTGCTAACCAGAAGTTGGTGGTTCAAACTCACCAGCCACTCCATGGAAGGAAGACAGGGCAATCTACTTCCATAAAGATTTATTACCTCAGAAATCCAACGGGGGTCGTTATGAGTCATAGTTAATTAAATGGCAGTGGGTTTGGTTTTTGGTTTCTGTGTAGATACATAGAAAGTAATTTCTTCTATTTCAAAGTGTAGAGGGAGACAGTGACAGGTGGCATAATAACAGACTCAGAAGTTTTAAAACTGAAAGAGAATATGAAGTCATCTATACCTGCCTTTCACACAAATGTAGAATTGCCTCCATGAAAACGGTATTTCTGGTTGCTAGCCCTAACAAAACCTGCTTGGGTACTTCCAGGAATACTAAGTAAACTACTTTTCTAAATAGGCCATTTGCCTCAGAAATGATTTTTATTATTTTCTTCCTAATACTGAGATGGAAGCTGCTTTCTCTAACTTTGTCCCATTGGACACAGCTGAGCTAAATATTGTGTTACCTCTAAGATTTATCTCCTGCATGCCTGCCATCATTTCTCTTAACACTGGTTTACAAACTCTTGATCATTCTGGTCACTTCTGGTTACAGCTCAGTCTTCTGTCTATATTTCTTTTTAAAAATGTAGCTACCAGGATTGACAGTTGGCTTCCAGGTATGCTTTGATTAATATATACTACTGGACCAATGCCTGCCTTCATTTGTAAAGCAGACATTTATTAATGGGGCCTAAAATGCTTTTTAGCACCTTGAGCAGTCATAAAACACTCTCAGATTATATTAAACCTGTAGTCAATCAAAATCATTGTTATTTTTTTCTCACCCTCAAACAAGGTATTCCCCTTTCTGTACCTGCCTGGGTTTTGTTGTTGTTGTTGTTTTAACATAAATGCAGGATTTTATGTTTATGCTGTTAAAATTTATACTGATAGCCTGTCTTTAGAATGTTATTTGTTAAAAGCTAATTCAAGCATCCAGGGAAATAATTCTTCACCCTACGTTTATATCACCAGCAAGTTTGATAAGCATAACTTCTTGACTTCAATCTTTGTCACTGATAAAGAAGAGTATTAAGTAGGTCAGGAGGTCAGCATAGAACTAGAGACCTCCTTCATGTTTCACTCATTCAACGCATATTTATCATGTGTCTCTAATGTGCCAGACATAAGTATTAAGCACTGAACATGATTCATTAATCAACTGTCCTTGGATAAGTTTGATCAACTACCCATGTTATTGCAGAATTACCTACAGCTATCACTGCACTGTTTTCCAGCTTGTAAAGAAGGATATCAATTCTGAGATTGTCCAATGCTTTGCTGAGTTCAAAATTCAGCATTCTACCAGGCTAGTGGCCTCCTCCAATAATAAGATGAAGTTAATTGGGCCTGATTTATTCTTGCTTTAAACCACGGTAGCTCCCAGGGATCACAGTTCCCTTTTCTGAGAATTCACAGTCCACCTGCTTCCACTTTACTCTGCAGCTTCACCATAATCCATGTGTGATGGTTATGTTGTGTGTCAACTTGGCTGGCCTGGTTGAGTGGCTGGGCAGCTGATCGTAGTTATTCCCCATGATGAGACTGGCAATCAACTCCATGGTGAGATCTACCACAAGCAGCTGAGTAGCTGTCTTTGAGATGTGGTCTGCTTCCCATATGTAAGAAGCAGCTCTGGAAATGGTTTCTAGCTTTTTGGTACACTTGAACCCTGCATGTAGCCACATCATCGTTCAGCAGCCTGCCATGTTGCCTCAGCAGCCAGCAGCTGTCTGAGTGAAGAAACACCTCTAGCTCCAGTGGGCTGGGAGCAGGAGGCAGAGCTAGACCCCAAGGTTGAGAGGCTTTCACCCAGCCCTTAGAGCCTGGCCCTTTGAACTTGGACTTAAAGCCTCCAAATTGTAAGAATAAACTCCTATTTTTTAAGGCCATCCCATTTGTGATATATTCTTGTCAGAGCGGCACTAGGCAACCAGAACACCTAGCAGTCCTCGGGAGCTCCCGCTTCTGAGATTCACCTGTTTTGCTACTTATGAAATTCAAGATTTGCCCACTCCACGTTCTCGGTGGTCCCTTCAAACTCTGACTTCTTCAAGATTGCTAAGAAAGTTGTGATTACATCTTCTGTATTTTTTAGTTATCCAAAATTCAACATTTTACGGTGGTCAAGAGCCTAGAATCTGGACTCAGAATAGATCCAATAGGTCCAACACTCACTAGCTGGACCTTGGACATTTTGTTTAAACTCTCTGTGCCTTTATCTCCTCATTTATAAAATGAGGATAATAATACTATTTACCTTGGAGAGTTGTAAAATTTTTAAATAATAATATGTGGAAAATACTTAGAAAGTATTTTTATAATAAAAGCTATATAAATGTTTAAGGAGCTCTGGTAGCACAGTGCCTAAGACATCTGATTGCTAACCAGAGAATGGTGGTTCAAACCCACCAGCCACTCAATGGAAGCAAGACTAGGCGATCTACTTCTGAAAGATGTACAGCCTTGAAAATTCAGTGGGGGTTGCTATGAGTCGGAATTAACTTGATGGTAGTGGGTTTGTGTGTGTGTGTGTGTGTGTGTGTTTAGGAGCTCTGGTGGTCCTGTGCTAAGGTATTCGGCTGTTAATCAAAAGGTCGTCAGTTCGAACACTCCACAGGAGAAAGATGAGACAGTTTTGCCTCCATAAATATTTACAACCTTGAAAATCCTATGGGACAGTTCTACTGTCCTATAGGGTCTTTATGAGTTGGAGTCAACTCAATAGCAGTAGGTATATAAGTGTTTGCTATTATTAAGTCTGGGATTTTGAAATCAATATACATGGCTGAGTATAATCACCTCTTTCTTCATCTACATAGGCCTCAATACCTTCTTCCCAAAGAAAATATTTCATAGTATGTGAAAAATTCTTTACTTATCCTAGTAGTAACTAATTTCATTTCTCAATAGAAGTAAAAGAAACAAGAGATAGTATAACTCCTCAGAAAAAAATAAGATTTAAATAGAGGTACGTTTTCTCTTCCATCTGCAAAGATCATGTTTTACTTCTAAGCAATGGAACTGCATCTTTCTCCTTTACTCTTTTTAATTTTAACATGATTGAAAAAGAGATTTTTTTTCTTCATAGCAATCCTGCAAGTGCAGCATATTCTAGGATGTAGCCTTCCTGATAAGATCATTACAAGGGCATCCAGTCTTTGTATTCATCCTTGGCCATGTGTCCTTCCTCCCAGCTTTTGAACACATCCTTTTAAAACCTGAACATATTGGAGAACTCTGTGACCACATTGGACCCAACAGTCCCTAACACACACACACACACACACACACACACACTTAGCATTTAGATCTTCTGTAATTGTATAGTAAGGATTTTATTTTATCTCCTTGCAATCAGAGTTGTACTCATTCTTTTTTTTTTTTTTTTAAGCCCATCACCATAGAGCATATCCTCTTTTCTCTGGACTTTCTTGAACTCTATGTTTTCCTGAGTTTGAAATGCACATTTATCTATGCCAACAGTAAAATGATTACAGTCTTCCAATGTTCCCACCACTCTTACTACCAGTAAGTTCTTCCCTGCTGTTCTCAGTAAGACCTACCATAGTCATCACTTCCCTTCCAAGAAGAAATGAAAATTTCATCAAGATAATTGAAGAATCCATCAGATGTTCTGTTTATAATCAATTGCAACATCCAGCAAATTTCTGAAGAACTAAAGATCCCCAACACCAACATTCTTTTATATTCTCATTTTATTCCCAAAAGATTGTAACTTGGATTACTTATCTTTGTCTTACATTTGTGCTAATTTTGTGATGTGTTTTAGGAAGAACTCTTTAGTTACCAGTTGTATGTAGATATTACCTACAATGCTATCACGTAAACATATCTCTTTACCTTCCAACAAATGTTCTGTATGTTTCTTCACCATTCATCTTACTGGATCTGGATTCAGTTTTATAATGTCTTGACATAAATAAAATTCAATTCCCTACATTTTATATAATGTATCTTATTCTACTTCCATATTTCAGACATAAATCTCACTTACAAAAACCAAAACCAAACCCACTGCTGTAGAGTCGTATCCGACTCATAGCGACCCCTCCTTGGGTTTCCAAGGCAGTATCAATAGGGAAGTAGATTGCCCAATCTTCCTTCCAGGGAGTGGCTGGTAGGTTTGAACTGCCAGCCTTCTGGTTAGCATTCAGTTGCCTTAGGCACTACACTACCAGAGCTCCTCAAGGTCTTGGTAATTCATGAAATTTCTTATTTATTTCCTCTGTTTATACTTTGAATTTATTTATTATTTGTATCTATAGCCAGTGTGCTAGTAAACAACTATGTAAGTGTAGGGACAACCTCCAGTAATAGTAAGCCAGTGGCACATTTGCAACACTCCATAGTGTTGCACGTTAGCAGACTTTCCTGACCGTCTCTCTCCGGGTCAAACTGAAATTTTTAAATGATCTCAGGTTAGATCTGTAAGTCTCCTGTCAAATATATTCATAAGATTTCTTCACCCCCTTTTCAAAAATCCATCATTCTAGTATCTTACAGCAGAATCTTAAAGGTGGTATATATATATATTTGACAGAGCTAGGACAAATGAGCAAAAGGTTAGGGAAGGCAACTTTCAGCTCAATAGATTAGAAAAAAAGAAAAAGAAAATCAGTCTGTCTGAGATGGTCCTAGACATGCTCAAGGTTGTATGAGAACCATCACCAGGGATTTGTGCAGGTATTTCTTGCTTTGAGTGGAAAGCTGGCAAATTAATATGACTTCTCCAAGAACTGACACTGAGACAAGGATTCAAGGGCAAAGATTTTTTGGGGGGACATCCAGGGAACACTGGTAGACAAATTAAGAGTGAAAGAGTGGCAGTCAATAAAAGGGGTACTATTACATCAGCTACCACAGAGGGCAACTGGAGTTAATCCTTACGGGAAAACTCTAGCAAAACATATGCTTCAGAATTTTCTCACTCAAGCAAGGAAGCTGGAGTATTTAGACATCCATTTTCCAGGGCCATTGATTGAAGACTTCCCTGGAAAGAGTATTTCGTCAGCACCTCCTTCCCGCCATAAACTGGTAGTTTGGTTTTTAGCAGTTATGGGAAGAGGAGCCCTCAGAAACAGAATTGCAGATGTTGGCAGTCCCCTGAGCACACTAAAAGGTCCAAGCATTATGTATGGGCAGAGCACTGACAATGTCTTCTACAGATGCTTAGAGGACTTCCTGTGTTTACCTCTGTGTCTCTAATAAAGTCACACTTCCCTCTCACACTTTACCTCAGAATGACAGAAGTTTATTAGGAGCAGAAATTCAGAGCCAACTATTTGACTGCTAACCAGAAGGCTGGCATTTCAAAACCACCAGCCACTCCTCAGAAGGAAGGTTGGGCAATCTACTTCTGTAGTGATACCACCTCGGAAACCCAAAGAGGGGTCACTATGAATTGGATTCGACTGGATGGCAATGAGTTTGGTTTGGTTTGGTTATTTATTATGATATATGTAACAAACATTTGACTTTGAAACAATTTTCACATGTATAGTTCAGTGACATTATGTTCATATTGTTCAAACTTCATCCTTATTTTTCTGACTTTTAAGGAGATGCTTTCTCTTATACTGTAATTATCTTTTGCCCCTCTTTCCACAATGTCAGTTAACTAGAATTTATTACCAACCCCTTGTTTTCTATCATGATATACCTTTATATTTCCTCCACCATCAATTAACTCCTCATCGTTATCCTCTAACCCTTGACTCATGAGGTCACTCTCACTGCTGGTGAGTCGGATCCAACTCATAGCAATCCCTCCTTGGGTTTCCGAGGTGGTATCACTACAGAAGTAGATTGCCCAACCTTCCTTCCGAGGAGTGGCTGGTGGCTTTGAACTGCCAGCCTTCTGGTTAGCAGTCAAGTGCCTTAGGCACTACATCACAAGATCACATCATGTATCAAATCCTTAAACAACCATCAAACCTCTCCCCTTTCAATCCCTTTGTAGCAAACACATTCATTCTTACTCTTCTGGAATCTCGCTTGATGGAATCCTTGTATCATTGCCTCCCATGCCATGATTATCAGTATGACCCTGACTCAGCACTCAGCTCCCATTAGACTTCTTCAGTCATTTGAATATTTCCAGGACAGGGTACAGGTTATTGGAGTCTCAACAGGTGTGTCTGAAACTGAGTCATTTTAACAGCTTACCACACCAGTTCCCTCCTCACCATCTCTAAGTCTGCCCAAACTTCCTTCCATGTTTCCAAGCTGTGGTTCTAAAAATCATCACCTGTCATGTTTCCAGCTGAGACTAGCTCACAAACACCTGAAGACAGACTGGGTGAGACTCAGGGGCAGAGGTATCACCTATATCATTCCCATCTCAAGCTTCTAGGTCTCCACTCAGTGCAAGGAAGAAATAGAAAAACAATACTTACAAGAGACAATATGCCCCTGGTTAATATTTTTCCATGGAAAAGGGAAATTCAAAATCACATCTCCTCAAATAAAAACATTAGAATTATCATAATCAGCCTGTTGTTTCTGTGCATAATTTTCTTTAAAGTTCTCATGAAACTGTAAAGTCCATAAAGACAGAGGCTATGTTAGATTTTTCTCACTAGTGAATTCCTGGTCTCAGACACGATGCCTAACACATAGTAGGTCTTCAGTAATACTTGCTGAACAGCTGAATAAGTGAGAATGTCAGTATACTACTGGGTCCCTGAGAGTGTTCTGTTTCTGATCATGTTGTCAAGATGCCTACTGTGGAAGGATGCTTTTGTTCTCCCTGGTGTGCCTTCTAGGTCAGGGATGCTACAAGTTCACACATTACTGTGACTTGGACAGCACTGAGTTCCCAGATAAAGTCATAAAATGTGGCCATAAAAAGTAAAAGGGAAACCTCAATTTCTCTCCATTAAATTTTATGTTACTAGTTAATTCACTAACCTCCATTCAGCAAATCTATCCATTACCACAAACTCTGTGATCACAGCAAGCATGTACTCCACAAAATCAATAAACAGAAAAGAGTAGTTATGGAATACTGTAATTAAGTAACATTGTGGAAAATGATTATTATATGTTCTTCATGCTTGTTGATAATCAGTTAAGGTTATATATTTGTAAATATTTTTATTGACATCTACCTGCTTAATCCCAACTCTTGTTCACTCAAATGAGATATTTGTAGGAGATTTCATGGATGATTTGATTTTGAAAATAACTCAATGGAGTACAGTAATGGTGTGCTCTCAGATGATAATTCACCCATTGAACTACAGGTGTTCAATACAGTGTATTTTTGTCCTTTATTCAGATTGATTTCTGGAAACCAGATTCTGCTACACAAATCAAACCTCATAGCACAGTTGACTTTCGTGTTAAAGCAGAAGATATTTTAACTGTAGAGGACTTCCTGGAGCAGAATGAATTACAATATGAGTAAGTTCATGCTTTACAGCTATTAAAATTCTCTTTCATACATTCTTTTATCTGAGCCTCTGAATAACTCTGGGAAGGTAAAAATGAGACCAGGAAGTTACATAACTTGTCCTGGGCCCCACAAGTATGTGACGACAGAGCTGGCTCTGGATTCCAAATCTTAAGATTTCAGACCAGATAGATTTTGTGTTTAGTCACTGCTCTAATTAAAATGGTTTTGACCCTTGAGTCCACCATTTTCTGCCAGGTATTTTGGGCGATCTACTTTCATACTGATAATGCCTCGGAAACCCAAGGAGGGGTCACTATGAATCGCATCTGACTCAATGGCAATGAGTGGTTTTTTGTTTTTGTTTTTGTTTTTTTCACTAGTTTAGAAATGATATTCAAAGAACAGGCCAAACCCATGGACACTGCTATTAGCTAGATGCCATTATAGTTCCACATCTTACCAGATCTTCTTGCCAGGTGAATGGCTGGGCCTATTGTGATCCATGAGAGCTCCTTATGTAACTTTAGCTTAAAGACCGAACTAAAGCAGACTGGGTTGCTCTTCTGTTCTTTTCCTTTTTACCCCAAGGCCTATCCACTATCTTTATTGATAGGAGAAGGCATGGAGAGATGGGCCCAAAGAAAGAAAAGTGATTTTCCAAAGGCCTAGAGTTGGCTAACTGATTATTCATGTCTCCTCTCCCCAGATATGACCCTTGTGCTTTCTAAGATGAAAATGTCTTCATAAATAGAGGAAATTGTCCCTTTGTTGATCTAACAGATACTGAATGCCTACATGTACCAAATACTGAACAAGAAAAATATGGCCCCACCTGCTTAGAGAAAGATAAACCTTAAGCAAGGAATTATAGTAATGTGTGATAGACATTAAGAAGGGTAAAGAGGCAAAAGAATAGACCAAGTCTAGGAAGTGAGGCTTCAGCTGAGATTGCAAAGATGAATAGAACTTATCCAGGCAAAGACAAGGAAAAGCCATATTTTAGCTAGAGAAGGCTACAAGTTAAGGTGGGAGGTATGAGAGACCATGTTGAGCCAGAGGCATCAGCATGAAGGAAAAAGAGAAATGAGACCTTTAGTTCTGATGGAAAGCAGAATTCTTCCTCCAAGGTGTGGAAGAGGGAGGAGAAAAGAGAACATCTTAGCCTTCAGTCCTGAGAATGTTCATCCAGCATTTCCCCACTACAAGCTCCAGTCTTCATTATGTTTAAAAAAACAAACAAATATGTGACCTACATAATTTTAAGATTAGAAATTTTCTTATTTTTCACACCTTGTTGTTGTTGTTAGTTGTCTTTGAGTCGATTGTGACTCATGGGGACCCCAAGAGTGAAAAGTAGAATTCTCCATAGGGTGTCTAAGACAGTGCCCTTTCAGAAGCACATCACCAGGTCTTAACTTCTGAGTTGCCTCTGAGTGAGTTCAAATCACCAACCTTTCAGTTAGTCATACAGCGCTTAACCATTTGTACCCTCCAGGGACTTCTTTTACATTTTAAAAGTATAGAAGGATAGTATTTATGCCAGTGATGACATCAGAATTATCAGATGTAAAATCTGTACCTCCATCAGAAGTAGTAGTGTTTCAAGGATAGTGCAACAAGCATATGCTTAAGAAAAAAAAAGAGACCAGGATTCAAATCACAGCTCTGCAATTTTCTGACTGTGTGACCTTGGGTAATTTGCTTAACCTTTCTGAACTTCAGTTCCCTTATCCACAAAATGATGATATAGTACTTCCCTCAAAGGATAGTTGTTGTGAAAATGTAATAAAACTATTACTATTGCTGAAAATGCTGCTATGATTTACTAGTATACAAAGAGGGAAATCATGCATCTTTTAAGGGTCAACAGAAACTGTTATGCTTAACCCCATTGTTGCCTCATACTGCTTAGCTATCTGCTTTTGCCTGAGGGGAATGCCAAAATATAACCCTTAGAACTGCCTTTTTAAAACAAAGATTTAATGCAGTGAGTTTTAAAATGTGCTTAAGATTCACATCTGTGACATTTTGCTTTCCTTATCATACTGGGAAGGCCTTCTAAGTCCTAGTCTTTAGGAACTGTCAATAATATTCAAAAAGAGAACAGTTTCCTTTTCATTCCCTTAGAAGAATGAAGTAAGTTCAATGACCATAGACTAGCCCTAACTACTTGAATGATGCCGTAATTCTATCCATATCACAAAACAGTAAAAAGGGCTTCTAGTTGCATATCAATCTCTTTTGATCAGGTGGAAAATGCACTTCCTTTTTCAGTGGTAAACTTTTTGGGAACTGTGTATGAACATTGTCCCATCTAGAACATAAGATATTCCCTGAAGACTAAAATCTTAATTTTTGCTTCCCTGTTCACCGCTTAGCACATTTGTAGCATATAATTTTCTAAATATTAAATAATAATAAGTCCCTAGAAATCCTGGCGAAGCACACCAGCAATATTCTTGCCGGGGCTGTGAGCAGTCCCCGTGCATCCCATTATTACCTCACATGGTAACTAATTTGTATGGAGACAGTTTCCTGTCAGCAAGAATCTGTAGTTGTTTGTGTGTCTAAGAGAAACCTCTACTGCACGAGTTCCACCAAAATAGCTTTTCAAATTTTTCAGTGGTTCCGGCCCTCTTCATCAAGACCTGCATCATTTAACAGCTTTAATCAAATACTGAATTATCATGGGGAAAAAAAAAATCAAAATATGTGCAAAAAGAAATACAACACTATCTTTAAATGCCAGCGTTGCACACTTAGGTAATGACAGACTAAGAATCAGCTGATATAAATCTACAATTTATAGTACTAAACCCAAATTAAAGGAATCTTTTGATAGACAGCCCTCTGCAGAATTCTGTCTTTGCTCTAGCCTATCCAGGGAGACATTGACTGTTGCTAAATGCCTATAACATCATTATCATGCACAGACATTTCAGAGTCACACAGGAAAGTGTCCTTGGCTAGCAAGGGGCACATAGTGCAGGAGCTAGCCAAATAATCTACTTTCAGGAATCTGAAAGGAGGAAAAAACTGAGTTATTGCTTTCTTTCTCAGACATTGTGTTCCTTGGTTCACTGGGAGTCCCAGTCATCTAATTTGCCTGCATGTTAAAAAAAAAAAAAAGAGGAAGTTGGATGGCTCTATAAAAGGAGCATATAAAAGTATAAAATAGTGTGCATGCGTCTGTTTTTTGGAGCTGTAATGAGGTCTCAATTATATTAAGAGGCATTGTTTTAATCTTCTAAAATAGAAGCTCATTATTTAGTAATAATATTTTGTAATATAGTTTAAGTGGTGCTTTGTCCTAAATCTTATAAAATCAAATAATCATAGGGCTGGAAAGGATCATTTGAGGTCAATCCCCCGCCTTCAGGCAAAAGTTGGCACCACATTTCAACTGCGTTCTGATGCTCCTTTGCAAGTTACTAGAGGATACTTTTACTCTTGGGTGTCATCTTAAATTTAACTGGTTATTATTATTATTTTTTATGTTCCTTTGTCCAGATTATTGATGAAAATATTTAACACAATGATAACTCTAAGAGAATGCCTCTTGTTAGCACTAAACAAAATGCTAGCCCTGTATAGTCTCTGATTTTTCAAAATCATTTGAACTGGAAGGTTGAGTGCAAGTGAAAGGGTACAGATATGCAATAGAAGATTCATAGATACAGTCCTATGTCTTTTGAAAGGTTTGTGGCTATGGAAATGCCTGTTGTTGTTGTTGTTGTTGTTGTTTGCCATCGAGTCGGCCCCGACTCATAGCGACCGCTCCTTGGGTTTCCGAGGCAGTATCACTACAGAAGTAGGAATGCCCAACCTTCCTTCCGAGGAGTGGCAAGGAAGGTTGGGCATTCCTACTTCTGTAGTGATACTGCCTCGGAAACCCAAGGAGGGGTCGCTATGAGTCAGGGCCTAGGAACAATTAACTGATGATTTCTCTCTCAGTGCTTCCCATAAGAAGCCATGTGACCTACATTATATTTTACTTGCTCACCAACAGTGGAAACCAAAACCCAAACCCACTAGCATCAAGTCGATTCCAACTCATAGCAACCCTATAAGACAGTGTAGGACTGCCCTATATGGTTTCCACAGCTGTAATCTTTACAAAAGCAGACTGCCACATCTTTCTCCTGTGGAGTGACTGGTGGGTTCAAACTGTTAATCTCTCAGTTAGTAGCTAAGCACTTTAACCACTGTGCCACCAGGGCTCCATCTGACAGTGAAACTCTTAAAGTCAGAGTAGGTACCAGTAACCATTATCTATGAGTTTTTTAGCTGTGTCATTCAGTCAAAGAAGTTTCTTACAGTTTGGCAGGATTTGAATATGGTGGGTTTTGAAAAATACTGCCAGTTGATTTTTTAAAGTGTTCAAGGTTTTTTGTTTTGGTTTGGTTTTAGTTATCCTTGAAAATTGTTTTCCTAAATTGTGTCCATTCTAGTTTTTAGTTTCCTCCATGTTTTTCTGTAATTTATGAAGGCAGTAACTGGTAACTTTACCATAATTTAAAACTTTAAGGGTCTTTTTCTTACACATGGAAAAACACCTGTGTAAATAACCAAGGCCTATGAATTTAAGTCACGTCATTGCACTTTAGAGCCATAAGGAAGACTGAATAACAGCTAAATTATTAATTTGATTAAAATGCCCTAATCTTAAAAATAATGAAATTAAGACCCAGAGATTAAATGACATTTCTAAGGCCAACTTATAAATGAGGCAAAACTATGATCCTGATCTTTTGATTCCTACTTCAAGATTCCTTTTACTTCTACCTTATTCCCTAAAAATTCAATTTGGGTATTGAATATAATTACAGTACTTACTATAGTCATTGTCCCTAACTGCAGCCAGCAGGATAATGGTCCTCCAAAAATGTCCATGTCCTAATCTACAGAACCTATGAATATACTTTGTTACATGGTAAAGGGGAATTAAGGTTACAGATAGAATTAAGGTTGCTAATTAGCTGACCTTAAAATAAAAGATGGACCCTCATTCAAAATCTTTACAGAAAGGATGGAGACCAGATCCTCAGACATACCTTCCTTGATTGTGATATCACAGATAGTACTTTGCATTGGAGGAGTCACAGGTGTGACCCAGGAGGAATTTTTGGCTAGTCTCCTTCCTTCACATGGGATATTGCACCAGGATCTTATACTAAGGGGTCTGTAAATCTTTGAACACTTAAAACCCCAATGATGACTTCCAGTTTAGAACAGATCTTACTTAGTAATTGTCTAGACTAAGAGTAAACACACAAACAAAATAAATAAATAAATAAGTTAGGCCCAATGCAACCACAAGAGTCCTTAAAAGTGGAAGAGGGAGGCAGAAGAGGAGGTCAAAGTGACGTAGTCACTTGATCCACTTTTGCTGGCTTTGATGAAGAAAGAGAAGGGCCATGAGCCAAGGAATATGGGCAGTCTCTCAAAGCTAGAAAGGGCAAGGAATGGATTCTCCCCTAGAGCCTCCAGAAAGCAGTGCAGCTTTGCTGACATCTTAAGTTTAGCCCGCTGGACCTGTGTTGGTCTTCTAACATACAGAACTAAAAGAAAACAAATCTGTATTGTTTTAAGCCTACGTTTGCGGTAATATTTTACAGGAACCCCGAAAACTAGCACACTAACAAATTATTGATGATTGCTCACTGAAGAAAATGTCTTTTCATAGAATAAATTTTAAAATCTGCTTCTTTTCCTTTCTTGAAAAATACTACCTTAAGTCAGTTTAGTATTTGCCTTTTGCTAGGACTCAGATACCTTTGGATATTAATTTATTACATTTTCCATTAGTAGACACAAGTTCATGCCCAAGTTCACCAAATGAAGGAGAAACTGAGGGAGGTTCAGAGGATGTCCCTGACACACTTCATCAGAATGCCCTTGGGGCAGCCGGAAGGGAAGCCGACTTTTGATGTGCAGCTGGAATTCTCTGTGTGTCAGATAAAACCATTCCAAGGCTTAACTTTGTATAATAGAAGTTTCTGCAAACTAGCCTCTGTAATAGTCACAATACTGTGATCAAGGAGGTTAATGTTCATAGAATTCCATCCTTTTAGAACACTCTTTCCACTCAAAGTAGCAAAGGGAAATGAAATTGGATACACCGATATACCTTCCGGTCTGCCTTTTATAATAGGAACAATTCTTTTATAGAAATAAGCAGGCCTCCACAGTTCTGTCACCAATTTTCATTTTTTGTTGCTACAGAACCAATGTTAGATTACTTTAAACCAGCCAAAAATAAACCAAGCAGAAACAAGTTCCCAAGCCCAATATATTCATGCCTAATAAACCTTTAGCTTGCTAATATCTCTGGATTTCCATCTACCAAGGTATTTTCCTCAAACCTGGAGAAAAGCCTCAGGTGAACAACTGTCCTAGTTTGCTAGGGCCGAGTATTTTCCCGGGACACTGGACTTTCAAGTGCTAAAACTAGGAAAGTCCTAAGAAATTTACCATAGAGAGGTCTTAATTGTACAGTTTTATGTGGCTGCACAAGGCCCTCGTCCAGAATGCAGAAGGTACCAGGTGAAACTATTCTCAAGTTTACGGTTCAAGGACACATTCTCCATGTGTAATCTCCTTCATGATATATATATGCTTACTCTTTGTGATCAGTAACAGACTTTCACTTGAGCAGCTCAGGTTGAAGAGCATCAAGAACAATCAGAGGGTAAATGTCCCATCCACAAATGGGATAGGATTCACTGTCCCATCTACAAATCAGTGTCTTCGGGGTTCCACGTGTGTTCACTGAGAAGAAAATACACTATGTTCATAGGAACACTCACTCTGGTTCATTGTAGGGTGTTGATCCACAACCTGAGATCTGTGATGGAGGCTCAGTTTGACAGCCGGGTCCGCACAACTGGACACAGTTATGAGAAGTACAACAAATGGGAAACGGTATGATATGCACATGATTTAGACATTGCTTTGAAAACTGAACTAAGAATATCACATTAACCCATAAATGATTTAATTTGGTAGATAGAGGCTTGGACCCAACAAGTCGCTACTGATAATCCAGACCTCATCTCTCGCAGTGTCATCGGAACCACATTTGAAGGACGGAATATGTACCTCCTCAGGGTAATTGCTTTTAACCATGACCTTGCCACATCTGACAGCTTTAAATCAAAGAATTCTAACAATGAATTAACATCTGTTGCACAGATATGCTTATCCCAAACCTTGTTATAACTCTTTCCCTGCCTATATCCCCCAAGGAATCAAACAGATTCCCTGGCTTCTTCTATCATATGTGGATTTTAAACCATTATTTTGATTTATTCAAAAGGAAAAGTGCAATAAAATAAGAGAAGTCCTATAAATTTAACCACATTCCTGTAAGCAATGTAAATGATTCTCTACCTTGATGAAATTGTTCTCTCCCAGCTGTTGTTTGCAAATCCATTTGCTAAAGAGGTTCATAAACTTCACGTCTATCAGACAACATTACAAAGCATATCAACAATTTGTTTCTGTCGTCCTCAAACGCCATTTTTGTCATGTAATTCTAATGAAGAAAATAAAAAGACTAGGAATAAGTGGGAGAGAAGGAAAATTCTTAGGAGATTAGCAACAATCATGATTACTTCTAATTACTCATCCAGTTGTCTTGGTCATGTCATCTAATAATAGCAGCTGAAAATAACCTCCACGTGAGTACAATTAAGCAGAGTAATCAAGCATCTTTGGAAAATATGAGCTTGTCAAGCTTAATAAAAATAATAAACAGCCATGTAAGCCTTCAGCTCAAACACTGTGAGTGTCTAGAGGCAAGAACACACTGTGCTAGTATTATGTTTGAATTTAATCATGGGATATATGTCTTGCTGCTGTCAGGTTTCACCTGTTGAGTCCAAAACCCAGATGAGAAGCAAATGTTAACCCCTGAATGCCATATGATTCACAGCTTTCCTTTTTCTTTTGTTTGCAATAGGTTGGCAAAGCTGGACCAAATAAACCTGCTATTTTCATGGACTGTGGTTTCCATGCCAGGGAGTGGATTTCCCCTGCATTTTGCCAATGGTTTGTGAGAGAGGTCAGTAGGCAGAGTGATTTTGGGCAGAGGAAAGTAGGAGTTATTTTTTTCAATAAATTCTAATTTAGCTATAATAAAAGAGAATAATAAAACAGAAAAAAATATCCATTAATTCCAAGTTTTCATTTTTGGAAATTAGTTTCAACTTCACCAACAAGCTTTTATAAAGCAAGATATTAAAACTATTAGCAAATTATTTATTTATTTTAATTTTACCAACCACCTTTGGTGGATGCTAACAATAATGCAAACTCACTGTTAAGTAGATTTGACTCATAGTGTCCCCTCCTTGGGTTTCCGAGGTGGTATCTCTATGGAAGTACATTGCCCAGTGTTCCTTCCGAGGAGTGGCTGGTGGGGTAGAACCCCCAGTCTTCTGGTTAGCAGTCAAATGCCTTAGGCCCTGTGCCCCCAGAGCTCCTTACTATTGCAATACATTATTTAAAAGTTAATGTTTGTAGATAAACCAAAGTTTGGTCATTAACACCTGGATAATAATTCTTGGAAAATTTAGAATAAAAGAAAATAGTACATGGTAGTCCTACTCTAAATGTTCCTGTTGTTCATTCTTTGTAATTCTAATAATAAAATACATGTATGTAAAAGCCTTTTAATCACTGAAGTATTATAAAATAAATATCTATGAGTACACACTGATATAAACAGATGACTCAATAATTAAATAAAAAGGAGAGAAGGAAGAACTCTTTCTCACACAAAGATGCAACTGTTGTTGTGTTGTGTGCTGTCAAGTCAGACCTGACTCCTAGCAACCCCCTCCTTGAGTTTGTGAGGCAGGATCACTACGAAGTAGATTGCCCAACCTTCCTTCCGAGGAGTAGCTGGTAGGTTTGAACCAGCAGCCTTCTGATTAACAGTCAAGTGCCTTAGGCACTAGGCTACCAGAGCTAATGAAGGGACTATTAAATTACCACAGTAACAATGGTTTCAGGCTAGATCCATGGATAGATACTAAAATTAGCAGGTAAAAGTTCTTTTTTTTTCCTAAAAAGTTTTAGGACAAGCAAAATATTTACAGAGTCTCAAAGTACTTCCTCCAGAATATGTATTAATTAAAGAGGTAAAATTTATAATGGAGAACCCTGGTAGGAGAAACTTTAAGTGATCAAGGTTAGCATCATCAGAAATGAAATGAATATCATGTACTCCTGTAAGTATGCATTTTAATTGGCATATCACCTTTGTTGTATTCTTCTCCAAAATGCATAATGTCTCTGTTATCATGAAAAAAATCAGATAAACCCAAATTGAGATACATTCTGAAAAATAATCTGACCAGTAGTGTTCAAAAGTGTCAAAATTATAAAAGACAAGGAAAGACTGAACAACTGCCACGGACTGCAAGAGGCTAAGGAGACATGGCAACTAACTGCAGTGTGGGATTCTAAATTACACTCTAGAACAACGACAACAATAACAAAGACATTAGTGAAAAATTGGTAAAATATGAATAAAGCCTGTACTTCAGTTGATAGTATTATATTAACCTACCATTAATTTCTTTGTTTTGATCACTGTATCATGATTATGTAAGATATTATCATTGGGGAAACTTGTCAAAGTGTATTTGTACAATACTTCATTAAGTCTAAAATTATTTCAAAGTTAAAAAATATTTAAGTGCTTTAGAATATAAGGACATTATTATTTGCAATTTATTTTGTGATTTGTAATACTTGAATTTTCTTTTTTGTTTACTATGGTCTTGGTTTCTAGACATGTTGTATCTACATTGGCATCATTTAACTTCAGTAGGGAGCTCACCATCTGTCCTCTAGAAGGAGGGAACTTTTGTAATTTTCTTGGTTATCTCCAATGTGTGAACCATTAAAAGAATACAGTTCTATAATTCTCCAACCCAAAAAGCACATGCTTCATTGAGTGTCACTATAATGAACAAATACTTACACAGTCACATGCAATATGTGAAAACTGTTAAAATATCTGCACTGCTGTCCAGTCGGATCCAACTCATAGCAACCCCTCCTTGGGTTTCTGAGGCAATATCACTACGGAAGTAGATTGCCCAGTCTTCCTTCCGAGGAGTGGCTGGTGGGTTTGAACCAACAGCCTTCTGGTTAGCAGTCAACTTCCTTAGGCACTACACCACCAGAGCTCCCTGTTAAAATACAGGAAGGTGAAATACAGACACCTTGAAGTCTACTCAAGCAAGCCTAAAGAAGAGTTGAATTTAAGCTTAATATCATCCTGAGGCAGAAGGACAGGAATTAAGAAAACATTAAATGGGCATGATTTCTTTCATTCATAGATAAATGTTCACATCACTCACTTAGCTGGTAGGACTAGTCCCTGGTAGGGGTTCCCTCCTCAAGGCAGAGGATTCAGGAGACTTTCACTATTTTGCAACTGGGAGCTTTGGTGAGAACTCCAAAATGCACCAGTGAGCACTCACTAATAGTGGAAGGTTTTCTCATTCTTCCTCCATGTTGGGAACTCCCTCCATGGGATCATCTATAAGGTATTTCATAGAAAGCAAAAAATTCTTATAAAATATTATTTAAAACATTCATAGCACCCATAGACATTCCCTGCTGACTAGGAATACTTCTACATTCATATCCTATTGTTTGAAAGAAAATTATTGTTAAAGGAAGTGAGTAAGTATGTCCTTTAAAAATCCTTATAAATTTATTAAATCTTTGTTCATTTTTCAAGTAAAATATAAAAATAAAAAATAATAATTATGTGAGTTATGCATGGATGAAATAGAAGTATCCTGGAAACAAAGGAAATTAGAAATTTTAAGTTAAAATTGCTCGCTGCTTTAAATAGTAAGTTTTTATTACCAAAAAAGTCAACAGTTACCCAATCTATGTAAATTTTAGCAGCATGATGCATTCCATTTTTCCATGAAATTCTTCTTTGTAATTAACACACAGGCTGTTCGCACCTACGGACGTGAGATCCACATGACTGACCTTCTTGATAAGTTAGATTTTTATGTTCTGCCCGTGGTCAATATTGATGGCTACATCTACACCTGGACCAAGGTATATATTGGGATGTTTATGTTCCAAAACTGAATGGAGCTGATAAAATTGAAATAAACTACCTTCTATTAAGATTGTCCTAACCATATAATCCACTTTCAGAACCGAATGTGGAGAAAGACCCGCTCCGCCAGTGCCGGAAGTACCTGCATTGGCACAGATCCCAACAGAAATTTTGATGCTGGCTGGTGCAGTAAGTATCTGGCTTACCATTTTGCATGTACCAGTTGAAAAGTATAAAAGAGAAAATAATGTAGGAAAACAAAGCAGTGTCTTTAAAAAATGTAAAATTTTATATTTTAGAGTTTAACTTTCTGAAAGTACAGACAATGAACAGTTTATTTACCAAACATACATTGAATGCTCCATTATATTCTCAGTCACCCTAAATGCTAGAAACGTAGGACTGAACAAATCAGACATGATCCCAACACTTGTGGAATGTACAATCTAAAAGGGGAAGCAGTCATTAAATAAATAATTAATTAAAATCATAATGAAATTATAATTCTTTAACTCAAAAAAATAATTACAGTGATGTAGAAGTTTTCATAAATATCAGATTGTCCCCTATTCATTTTCTTACAGTATATTGAACTCATTGTGCTATACTACACAGGTACACATTGATGATTTCCCATGCAACTTTGTACCATATTAAAATTGTCATATAAATATGCCACCTTAATCTTATGAGTAAGATTATAAAATTATAAAATACTTTATAAAATTATAAGATACTTCATTTTAGAATGCACATATACTTGAGGATAATTATAAGAATTCTTTTTAACTCCCCAATTTGAAGGTTTCAGCTACCCCCTGAGAGACCTTCAGTAGATGACCATTTACCATTAGTAATAATACATGTTTCTCCAGCAATTGGAGCTTCTCGAAACCCTTGTGATGAAACGTACTGTGGATCTGCTGCAGAATCTGAAAAAGAGACCAAGGCCCTGGCTGATTTCATCCGCAAAAATCTCTCTTCCATCAAGGCTTATTTGACAATTCACTCATACTCCCAGATGATGCTCTACCCTTACTCCTATGATTACAAACTCACTGAGAACAACGTTGAGTTGGTAAGTACTCAAAATAGTATATATGGTATTTCACCACTGAGGTTTTCTTTTTAATTTAATCCTGAAAGAAAATTATAAGAATGTTTTTGGAATTTCCATTATTGATTTTTGGTAGTAGAAGTGAAATATGTATTATAGATTTTCAAGTCATCTTTTGTTGGCTAGATTTCTTTAGTCAGCTAAAAGAAATAGAATTTTACGATAGGAAATAGTCCACCACATGTGGCTTGTTAACTAATCTTCAAATTGACAATAGTTGCTCTTCCTCCAGCTTCACCACAAAACTGACTCGCATGATGATATCAGATGTGTCTGGGATAATCAACAAAGCTCCTTGAAATCACACATACTCTTTGTTGTAGAGTCAATTATGTCAAGTTGCTTTAAGCAGGATTTGACATAGGCAGAGCATGGCAGATGTCATTGGGAATTTTGCCAAATTTGGTTAATACAGGGTTTAGCAATGAGATCCAGAAGCGTTTATTCACTGATCAGGGAAAACACGGAGTAAATCAATCAACAAATAACTGAATGGACATTACCAGATATAGCAATGATACAAAGGTACTTAAATTAAGCATCCCTAACTCAAAGAATTAACATCTCCTTGAAGAAACAAGAAATAATCACATGAAAAACTAAATAATGTAAGTCTTATAAGAATTCACATTAACAGATTTATACAACATTAAGTTTTATAAGAATTCACATTAACAGATTTATACAACAATGCATGGATTTTAGAAAAAAAATAAATAAATAAGATCAGAATTCTTCAAACAATATTTTTTTAATTCATGAAACATCTGGTTGCCAGAAGTAGAGACCAATAATCTACAAGAGCAAGTACAAGATTTAAAGCATTTGAGTTATGTCCAAAATAAAAAAGTATCCTACTTGGACAATGACACAGATATTTGGCTTACCTAAATGCATAAATCTGAAGATCCAGTAACCTTAAAAAGCAGAAATTATTTTGTATTTTCTATCTTCTACAGAGGTCAAATAAAATATGTAATGCTATAAATATTTTGCAAAGAGCAAAATGAGAAAATAACCCCAGCCTCTTAGAAAAGTGAAAACAGTTGGCCCTGTCCTCTTCTTCAAAATACATAAATAAGCTTCCCATTTTCCTTATGTATAGAAAAAAAAAGTTATTAGTTGGAATTATCAAATAGTTCAACTTTCCAATTATACTCGGTCTGCCATTGTTCCTCAGTTGTGTTCACAGTCCTGCTGACTCAAAGATGGGTGTGGTTAGCTCTTCATTTCTGTCCTAGATTTCTGGCCACTGGAGGAGGGAAGGCTGGTATTATGTTGTTTACTTAATTCATGTGACTGTGTTTGAATTTAACCACATCAGAAAAAAACAAGAAAAAGTCATGATAAACACTAATGAGTGTTTATTAACTAATAAGTTAATAAGTAAAATATCAAAATTAAAGGTATAGTACACATTAAGTGTAACAAAAAAAAAGTGTAATATACACAGTTTGCCTAATACCAACTGGTCTTAAGCATAAATACTAAAGGACAAATACTTGAAGCGCTATTAGAATTAAGCTTCACATAGGTTTCAATACCTTTTATTTGGGGATTAAGTTCAACAATGTGATAGCTTTATTGCCCCACTAGCATCATTCTATAATTAGGAATTGACTTGATGGCAACTGGTTTGGTTTCTGGTTTGGCATAATTCTATAATAACCTAGTCTCATGGATTACTCTGAAAGTCTCCAAATTATCCTTAAAAAAAAAAAGAAAAAGATGAAGAAAGAAAGAAAAAGAATCTAATGAATTCTGCCTTTGGCATCTTATGATTTTTTTTTTAATTTCCTGTGGGAATTTTATCCAGAAAAAGACCCAAGACTCAGAGTTAGTGAATTTAAATGGACAATTCATATAGGCCCCAGTGGTATGAAAACTGTTAGGCAGAATGTGAGATCTGAGTTAAAAAAAATTTAAAAAAAAAAAGCCAAACTCACTGCCCTCCAGTCGGTTGCAACTTATAGTGCCCATCCGTGGATTTCTGAGGTGGTATCACTACGGAAGTATATTGCCCACCCTTCCAAGGAGTGACGGGTGGGTTTCAACCACCAGCCTTCTGGTTAGCCGTCAAATGCCTTAGGCACTACACCACCAGAGCTCCTGTGAGATCTGATACTGTCATTCAAAAATTATTTCTTCATTTACAGTCATGAAAAGGCAGCTACAGTAGTGTCCCCTTAGCTGCGGTTTTGCTGTCCATGGTGTCATTTACCTTCGTTCAATGACAGTCTGATAATGTTGAAATTGTTCACCCTTATGAAAAGCATGATAAAATCTCCCCCTGTCCTGCTCTGTCCCAGCTTCCACCTCCTTCACTGGGCATGAGCCTGGAAAAGACAGTTAGGTCAGCGTCTGCAACATGCCCTGCTGGTGTCTGATGGGTTAGCATTGCTCTCCTAGGGCACCCTGGGTAGCCACCCCTCCTTAGGTTTCCAAGGTGATATCTCTATGAAAGTAGTTTGCCAAGTCTTCCTTCAGAGGAGTGATTGGTGGGTTTGAACTGCCAACCTTATGGTTAGCAGTCAAATATCTTAGGCACTACACCACTAGAGCTCCCAGAAAAAAACATAGTACTGTATACATAAGGTTTGGTACTATCCACATTTTCAAGCATCTGCTGGGGGTCTTGGAAAGCATCTCCTGCAGATAAGGGGGAACTACTGTAATAGTAAAAGAGAGACTATCAGGAATCTCATACTTCAAAATTGTTTTTCAAATTCTAATTAACAGAGGAGTGGAATAAGCAGAATTGTATCAAAGTAGCAACATAGTGGTAAAGTGCTTGGCAGCCGCTCTGCAAAAAAAAAGATGTGGCAGTCTCCTTCCCTAAAGATTGTACCCTTGGAAACCCTATGGAGCAGTTCTACCTATCCTATAGGGTCACTATAGGGTCCGAGAGTCAGAATGGACAGTATAGCAATGGGTTTTTGAGTTGGTCAAATATTCATAATCTATTCTCAAATGAAAAACAGTGCAAACTACAAAATTATCTTATCTTAGGTGTTTATCTTTATACTTGCAAAAGTACTAAATTCAAGTATTACATGGCACTTCTGATCCTTTCCAGACAGTTATAAGATGGGTGACTAAAATGCAAACCTTAATTACACTTGTAATTACTAGCATGTCTATCACACCCATTGAATTCAAAGTTACCTTAACTTTCAATAGTTTCTTTTATGATTAAACTCTTTCCTAATGTCTTAAAAAAATATTTAAGTGCCACTAGTAAAGTCTAATGTGAGCATCATTTGATTATTTGAATCATCGAGGATCTGAATTTAGTCTGGTACCACAAAGCAAGTTGAATATTTTGAGCATTAGAGATCCTTTTAATCTTTTCCTTATCTTTGTACATTTCCAAGCCACTTACTTCCAAAGCATATTTTGCTAGAACAAACTCATAGCTATAGTGTTACCACAAATATATACATACAGCCAAAAGAGATTTTGAGCCTCTCAAAAAAGAGAAACATTGACTTTTTCACAGTTTATATCACAATAAGAATTTCAAGGAAAACATTAAAAGCCTTAACCTAGGTGGATGGATATTTCATACAAATATACTGCCTCCCTATTAATAATACATGGATTGTTGTTGTTATGTGCCGTCGAGTCGGCCCCGACTCATAGCGACCCCTCCTTGGGTTTCCGAGGCAGTATCACTACGGAAGAAGGATTGCCCAACCTTCCTTCCGAGGAGTGGCTGGTGGGTTTGAACCGCCAGCCGTCTGGTTAGCAGGCAAGTGTCTTAGCCACTATGCTACTAGAGCTCTCTAGGGAGGCAGAAAACAAAAAGTAGTAAAAAACTAATAAAATGAATTCTTGACATTGTCCTGTGCTACAGATAACTCATAATTTTGTTAGAGGGATATAATGTGAGCTTGTCTTATACAGAATTTGGCCTAGTAACAGGTATATATATTATTTTATGTATTATAAAACTGATAAATTATATTTGTAGCAAAAAAGGAGACTGAAGCTTCAGACTCGAAGAAATTATTTAGTACTTACATTAACATTCTCAGCCCAAATTTAGTACATACCATCAGCAGCACACTTTGATATCTGAGTCATGAAAAAAATTTATGCGGCTTCATTTCTGAAGGATCTTGCATGTATGTTGCCTGACAATTGTTCATATCATGAGACAGTCTTCAGAGGGAAGAAACGTAGTGGTGAGAATACTAAAGTCCAGTGAAGAACAGAGACAGTAACAGCATGGACTACAAAGGCTACCAGAAAACAAGTCCTTGACTGATTAGTAAAAAGCACAGAGAACAATAAGACTATCTTAGACACATAAACAAACAGAGCAAACTGTTTGCACACAACTATGTTACTTAAAAAATTACTTAGCATACTATAAGTTTCCAATGGCATCATAAACTGTTCAGTTCCCCTGTGTTGTTGACTTCTTTGCTACAGAGCTACCATTGTCTTCAAAGAATGTTTTAAGATTCAGAAAAAGAACATACTTAAATTTCTAAAATTCTGAAGAGAAATATTGAATTATATGATGACTTTATTGGCAAAGGAGATAAAAATTAGGAGACATATGGAAAAGACTTGTCAAACCTAGTCATGTCTCTTCATTATTGGATATATAGAGGTCTATTCTACTCAGAGAGATCTACATGGTACTGTTAAAGACAATATTAGCATCAATGTTGTTGTTGTTGTTGTTATGTGCTGTCGAGTCAGCCCTGACTCATAGCGACCCCTCCTTGGGTTTCCAAGGCAGTATCACTACGGAAGTAGGATTGTCCAACCTTCCTTCCGAGGAGTGGCTGATGGGTTTGAACCGCCAGCCATCTGGTAAGCAGTCAAGTGCCTTAGCCACTATGCTACCAGAGCTCCCTTAGCATCAATAATGATGATAATAACCTTATTAAGGGAAAAGCAGAAAACCAGAACAATATCCAGTCAAGTCAATATCTGGCTCCATTCCC